AATTTTTTTTATACGTATAATGTGCGGAAATTTTTTAAAAGGTCGGGAGTATTTTTCTTGCACTTCTAACACCTCAGAGGGACGTTAGGAATGCAAGAAAATTTTTTCCGACCATTTCCAAAAGAAATAGCGACTTTGTTAAAATTCGCCTGTATAACGCGTTTCAGGCTCTAAATCATAGGTTTTGCACGAAAAAAACCGACCAAATTTTTTTTGATACGTATAATGTGCGGAAATTTTTTTTAAAAGGTCGGGAGTATTTTTCTTGCACTTCTAACACCTCAGAGGGACGTTAGGAATGCAAGAAAATTTTTTCCGACCATTTCCAAAAGAAATAGCGACTTTGTTAAAATTCGCCTGTATAACGCGTTTCAGGCTCTAAATCATAGGTTTTGCACGAAAAAAACCGACCAAATTTTTTTTGCAGGGCAAAAGGCCTTTTGCTTCCAAACTCACGGAATGACAGTCAGTTTAACTAGGGAGGATCAAACACAATAAACAGAAGAGACATTTCTTGTTTGGCGAGATATGCAACCTTTTATTCTGTTGCATCACAAACCATAGCATCAACACGTGCGAGGCATGATGTAGGATAGAGATTGTCTCAAATATATTAACATGTGTCTCATGTCAACAACCCGGCCTCACGGAAGTAGTGGAGACCAAAACTTGCAAAACACATCCAATGACTCTTACAGAAGAGGGAATCGCATAACATAAAAGGTGCGTACATGTGGCAATCATCGTAGGAACACTACAGTATGGGTTACAAAAGAGAGTCACCAACTCGTTATCTTGTTCCTTAGTAGGATACAAGGGCGATTTGGTTCTACATTGGTATAAGGTATAGAGTAGGATACAACGTCACCAACGGGTGATTTGGTTCTAAAATATAGAGTAGAATACAAACGCTAGTCACCAACGGGTGATTTGGTTCTACATTGGGTATAAGATATAGAGTAGGATACGAACGCTAGTCACCAACGGATGATTTGGTTCTACATCGGGTATAAGATATAGAGTAGGATTCAAAACGCTAGCCACCAACGGGTGGTCCTGTTGTCTACATTGGTATAAGACACAGAGTAGGATGGTTTTATACATTGGGTATAAGATGCAGAGAATGATACAAGCGCTAGTCACCAATGGGTGATTTGGTTCTACAATGGGTATAATATATAGCGTAGGATTCAAAACGCTAGCCACCAACGGGTGGTCCTGTTGTCTACATTGATATAAGACACAGAGTAGGATGGTTTTATACATTGGGTATAAGATACAGAGTATGATACAAACGCTAGACACCAACGGGTGATCTTGTCCACATAAGATGAATAACATCGAATAAAGGGTAGGTGCAATAAGTAACAATCGGGTACATTACAGGGTAGGATCTATGGTACATTGCTGCGTGCGGTAAACGCTGGTCTCAAAATAGTGCAATAGTAATCGTACGTGTCCATACAATAGAAGCTCATAACCTCTTAGTTATGGTTGGTTACATGTGTTAGTAGAAGGAAGGGCACCCGCCAGCAACCTTCGGGAAACTTTGAGTCAGGATTGGTTAGAGGCGAATATAGTGTTTGAATGCATCTGACGACCATCTGCCTAAGGACCTGAGAAGGGAGTCGGGCACCCCTTGCATTGCAGCCCAGGTTGCAGCGCCTATTCGAAAGGAATGGGGGGTGATTTTGTGGGTGTCTAGGCCGAGATGTTCTAGGCTAGTTTTGAGGGTTCGAGCGAAAAGGTCCGCGGAGACAGGACGCCCGTTGCTGCGGAGGAAAAGGCATCCCGCACAGTTCCCCCTCAGCTTCAGGTAGTCCTGTAGACTGGCTACCGGGCAGTACCGGCTTCCTGGTTGTGACTGAATAGAAATTGAGGACGGGCGGCCAGAACTGTTGTGTTTGAAGGATTGAAAGGTGGCGATGATGGAGGGCCCGGATGTTTGACGGGACGGGAATAAGGAAATGTTGGAGAGCTGCAACGTGTGCTGCGGGCCAGAGGTGACGGCGACTTCGCCAATACGGGCCATGGAGTAATAAGTGAACAAGTACATGGCCTTGAATAAAGCTTGATCATAATGCGTGGCGGTTGTGTTCTGTAGCGAGTCTACCAATGATTTGAGTATGAACGGGGAGATGGGGAGTCGATCGTCTGGGACACGGAACTTCCGGATAGCCTGCATCAGTTTTTGGATAACAAATGACTGGGTAGGATCCGGTAAATCAAAAAGTTTGTGGATGAAGCTGATGGCAGATAGTTTAGAGGAGATGGATGCAGGTGCTATCTGTCTTTGGTGTAGTGACGCAATAAACTGAGATAGCAGGGGGACTGATATGGGGGGCATGGTCAAGTCCCGACCGACTAGTTGAAAGGTGAATTGACGCAGCTGCTGCCAGGCAGAGCGATAAGCCCGTAAGGTGGAAGGGGCGAGAGAGGTCATTAAGAGGTCGTTGGCAACCTTATTAAGGACGACGGCTGTAGATGGGAGGGTACCGGAATTGGGCATGGCTCCATGTGAGGGAATGTGTGGCGGAAGTGGGCGATCTGTAAGCGAGATAGAAGATCTGCCATGACATTGTCTTTACCAGGGATATGGGTTGCACGGCAGAGGACATTATGTTCCAGGCATATGAGTACAAAATGGCGGAGCAGAGGCATAATCGCTGGGTTTCGGGACGTTTGTTTGTTGATCACGTGGACGAGAGCCTCGTTGTCGGTGTGGAAAAGAATTCGTTTGTTTGTCCAGAGGCGTCCCCAAATATGTAGAGATAGTACAATGGGGTAAAATTCGAGGATGGTTATGTTAATGTTGTTGAAGGAGGGAGGCCAAGCGCCGTAGACCCAGGCCGTTTGGAAGACTGCCCCAAAACCCAGCGAGGCCGCTGCATCCGTAAATAGGTGAAGCGTTGAGTCAAATGTGAAACTATCTTCTAAGAAGAAGGATTTACCATTGAATGAAGTCAGAAAGTCGTGCCACATGCGTAAATCCTGGCGAACACTGTCAGAGATGTGTATGAGTGTTTTAGAAGAGGACTGTGACTTGGTTAGGTCAATCAGACGTCTTAGGAAAGCTCGGCCTGGGAGAACTACTTGGCAAACATGGTTCAGTAGGCCAATAAGGGACTGGATTTGTTTGAGGGTGGCTGATGAGGCTGAAAGGAAGGCGAATAGTTGATCTCTGCATTTATGTAGCTTGTCTGGAGGTATTCTGGCCTCCATGGCTATTGTGTCCAGTTCAATACCAAGAAAAGTCATGACTGTATCTGGTGAAAAGGTTTTTTCGTCAGCCAATGGGATGCCGACCTCCACACACATGTTGGAAAAGGCCGACAGGTCACGGTCGCAGAGGTGATAGGACCGATTAGCGAAGAGGAAGTCGTCTAATATGTGTGTCGGGAAAGGAATGTTTAGTTTCTTTCGACAGATCCACTCTAAAGCAGTGCTCAGACTTTCAAATATTGCACAGCTGATACTTGACCCCATTGGTAAGCACCTGTCGTAGTAAAACTCGCCATTATAGGTGAAACCAAGAAGATGGTGATCATCTGGATGCACGGGAATAAGGCGGAATGCCGATTGAATATCTGTCTTGGCAAGATAGCATCCAGGCCCTAAGGTCTTGATATGTTTAATAGCCGTATCTATGGATGAATATGTGACAGACGAAAGCTCACGGGGAATGCCGTCGTTGACCGACGCGCCGGGGGGGGAGGAAAGATCGTGAATTAGGCGGAATTTACCCGGGGTCTTTTTCGGTACTGCATAGAGTGGGGAAAGGAACAGGTTGTGAAAGGGAGGGAACTTAAAAGGCCCGGCGATACGCCCCGATTGTAGTTCCTGCTGGAGTTTTTCGGAAATAACGGGATTGTATGGGCTGCCGCTTTGTTGTGGCAATGACAGAGCTGTGACGTATCTAGGACCAAAATATTCTAACGGGAAACCAGACGTGAAACCCTTTATGACATATTGTTTATCACTCTCAGGGTATCCGTGAAGGTAACGGTGAAGGGCACTAGCGCGGACGGGAGTGGGAAGTGCTGGGGGCGGACTTCTGATCGCAGAGGAAGGCCTTGTGGGGTTTGGAGCATTTGTAGCAGGAGTGGTCGAATTGGCATTTGACCTGGAGGCACTGTGTGTTGGAGTTGTGATGGCGAAAACAGTACCCTTTTGGCACTTGTTTGGGGGTTGATTGTGATTGGGTACGGCGGGAAGTAAGTGGGACAGTGGAAGGCTTAGACCCGGTCAGGGCATTGACGTACAACTGCATTTGGGGAGTATCCCATGGGGCAGCGGGGAAGGCCTGCCGGTACTGGCGGAATTGTGTATCATACGTCTGCCAGTCCGCGCCTTTAGCCGCAAGGGACCGGACTAGCGACTGGTACGAGATAAGCTGAGAGCTGCTGGAAGGGTGACGTTGGAGGTAGATGTAGTGAAAGATTGCGAAGGCGTCAAGCCAGCGGTCAAGAGAAAGGGGCTGTTTGGAACTCACAGTGCGGTTGGCAAGGGTTAAGGTGGGCGGCCCGTCGGTGTCGGAGAGAGCGACAGTGTACAAGGCACGCGTGTCAGTTGACGCTGACGGGAGCAGCTGCTTTAAGTCGATGAAAACATCGCGCCAGATTTTATCTTTTAGGGCAGCGGAGACGCCATTGTCAAGAGGGACGTGTGCGCCTAGGCGTGAGGTGTTGGCCGCGAGGGTCGGGGGGTCTGTCGGGTTGGGGTTAGGCAAGACGGGCGGGGCGGGGGGTGTGGGGTTAGGCAAGACGGGCGGGGTAGGGCCTGTTGGGTTAGGCAAGACGGACGTGACGGGACCTGTGGGGTTAGTGTTGACAGTCTGAGCAGGGTGTGTGGGGTTACCTAGAATGGCTCCGGCCAGAGCATTGGCGGGGCCATCCAGCTGGGCAGGCGGAAGTGCCGGCGGTGTGGGGCCGAACTGGGTAGTTGTTGGCAGCGTGGGGGCGCCCTGTGGAGCAGGAGGTCTGGACTCCAGTTCTTTGGAGAGCAGCTCGTTCGCCGCCTGGAGCCGCTGGAGCTCAGTCCGCAGGTTAACAATGTCTTCGGGCTGGTCGGTTGTCGGGCCGCCACGTCCCCTGCCGCCCCGTCCGCCTCGTTGGGTCGGTCCGCCCCGTCCTAGGGCTCTGCCACCTCGTCCCCGGCCCTGTTGGCTTCCGGAGCGGGTGACGGGCATTGCTAGGTCTCAAACAAACAAACAAGAGAAGAAGGCGGATTAGGAAAACATGAACTTTGGTTACATACTGAACAGGCGGGATCATGTCACCGCAAAGGTGGAGCCGTTACAACAAGGTACAAGATTTTTACTAAGAAATATCAAGGGGAGGGCTCTCATTGACATATGAAAGATGGAGGCCCAGAACGGGCGGGCGAGCACGTTAATTTATGAAGGTGTGATTCCCGTGCAGAGGGCCGATGTGTATTGCACGGAAGCACGGATCCAAACTGCCCGCTCTGAACCCAATGAGAGGCCCAGAAGGTTAGAATAAATTATTGGGCGGTCAGAAGGTTACAGTGTGCGTATGTAGCGTAAACCACGTTTGCCAGTATAACTGGCGGGGTGTGTAAATAAAAACACCGCCAAAGTGTGTAAATAAACACTGACCGCTACCAGCGAAACGAGCGGACAGAAAGGTAACGACAGTAAACAATACGGGCTTCAATAGGAAGCACCGTAACATCTTACACGGGTCTGCCAAGTATAACAGACACCACGTGTAAACAATCTCTGACCGCTACCAGCCAATCGAGCGGACAGAAAAGTAACAGTAAACAATACGGGCTTCAATAGGAAGCACCGTAACACGTTACACGGGTCTGCCAAGTATAACAGACACCACGTGTAAACAATCTCTGACCGCTACCAGCCAATCGAGCGGACAGAAAAGTAACAGTAAACAATACGGGCTTCAATAGGAAGCACCGTAACACGTTACACGGGTCTGCCAAGTATAACAGACACCACGTGTAAACAATCTCTGACCGCTACCAGCCAATTGAGCGGACAGAAAGGTTACAACATACAATACGGACCTGTAGCAAATGTGACATAAGGCGTCCGATATAGCGGACAAAAAGGTGCAGTCTGGCCGCCATATTGGCAAACCGAGCAGCCGTGGAGATACATGGCATTTTTTGTGTTGTAAACCAACGGGCTCGCCAGAGGACAAGTGTTGTGCGGTTAGATGTTGGGCTAGGGCGATCAATTTGGTTGGAAAACGGCGAGGGGGGCGGAAGTCAAATGTTTTGTCAATTGGTACAGCGAAAGGTTAGGTCCTCACGGGTAGCTGGCGACCGACTGACTGAATGAATGGTGCCTCGTGCGCAGGGACCACCCAGAGGTGGTCAGCCAGACAGATAGGTTTGTTGCTATGGCAACTGTCGCGACGGACGTACAGGGGAATACTCAGAATACCCTCCCTTCCGTTTTACAGCAAAAACCCTATTTTGCAGGGCAAAAGGCCTTTTGCTTCCAAACTCACGGAATGACAGTCAGTTTAACTAGGGAGGATCAAACACAATAAACAGAAGAGACATTTCTTGTTTGGCGAGATATGCAACCTTTTATTCTGTTGCATCACAAACCATAGCATCAACACGTGCGAGGCATGATGTAGGATAGAGATTGTCTCAAATATATTAACATGTGTCTCATGTCAACAACCCGGCCAAAACACGCCTAACTGCGTGAAAGAAACCAAGACCAGTGCGTGTGCGAACGAAACGGGGAAACCAGCCAATCGGGCACAAATTGTGCCGGAATGAGAAAGGAAAGGGGTCCACAAGGGACAAGCGAACACGTTTTAATTTAAATGTGCTTTAGGTGGCGGTCTACAGCCCCGCGCACGCTCTTGTAATACTGGAGATTTCCCAGATCGGACAAATGTAGGCCGTCAGGGGCAAAGTAGTTTGGGTTGTGTCTCCACAGACGTCTGTGGTCCCATACTGTGACCTTGTGATAACTGTGTACGAGTTCCTTCAGCGCCTCCGTGAATTTGTGGAGGCGCTGAGGAAAGTCAGACATGTTGGGTGGATTATGGAGACGCCAGATTGGAGCCCCCAGTATGACAGATTGAACGGCTGGGATGTTTTGTAGGGAAAAGGCAAGGCTGGCAAGATTTCGAGCGATTAATTCAGGTGATAGGTTGGGGTTGCACAAATCGACTACCCCTAACTCGATATATATAATGTCACTTGGAAAAAGCCTGAATGTACGGTAGAATACGGGCGCGATAGCGAGGGATGTTACAGCCGGGGAGACCGTAAAACTCGACACAGGCCCGGGACAGCCAGAAGTCTCGTGAAACCGCGCGGCCGGTTTGCGTGGTGGTACGGGAAGAGATAAATCTTTCTAACCGCTTGACAAAAGAGTGACCCGAAACGAGGACGGATCTAAGACCGTCGTCCATGTTGATATGTCAACGAACAAAACTCACCGCACGGGAGACTGAGCTTGGCGACGTGCTGGTCTCACTAGGTCACGGTCAAGTGCTCCGGCCAGGCGTTGTCCTCACGATGTTTTGTCAGTTGGAGTAGGTTAGTAAGTCCTCGCGGGTAGCGCACGGGAGACTGAGCTTGGCGACGTGCTGGTCTCACTAGGTCACGGGTCAAGTGGTCCGGCCAGGCGTTGTCCTCACGATGTTTTGTCAGTTGGAGTAGGTTAGTAAGTCCTCGCGGGTAGCTAGCGAAAGTAAAACAAATGTCAGTCGGGAAGTCAAATGTTTTGTCAATTGGTACAGCGAAAGGTTAGGTCCTCACGGGTAGCTGGCGACCGACTGACTGAATGAATGGTGCCTCGTGCGCAGGGACCACCCAGAG